GCCAAGTATAATAAGACTAAAGTTTATTTTGTGAACAAGTCAGTTCTATCATGATTTGTCTTTAATAAAACTGAGGACCGGAGAGAAAAAAATTATGTTTCAAAAACTGTGGTACACCTATTATTAGATTCTAGTCTCATCAGTTTTTGAGTTTTCGTCTGCAATTTAGATTAATCCTGCTTATTCCTGTGAACCAACCAGTGATCTCTGGCTGCAGGTCAGAAGAAACAAGACGGATGGGTAATGTAAAAATCTGGATCAATATTCTAATTCTGGGCACATATTGGAATCAGCTAGCAATCCCAAGAACCCAATGGAATCAGCTAGCAACCCCATGCACCCAAGTCTTAGCAGGCATAACTATAGCCACCAGCTACCTGAGCATATTGGCAGTCTCAGAATTTTTTGGAGCTATCATCACCCCCTTATTTTGACTTAGCATTCTTCTAATTCTAATAATCCTATTTCTCGCCTCTCACCTTCAGGCCATCAAGCTCCATATGATCATCAGTGAGGGATACTGTCCTCTCAATATTCAAGAGCCAGCCTTCTACAGAGGACCCCTAGACTGCTCATTAGTGGGACATGACAGAGGCAAAATCCTGTCCCTGTCTCTTGGACCTGGTTGGATACTGCTTTCACCAACCCATGGAACCAGCTCTGCCCTGACAGCTTGCAAGAGGCCAAGACCTGCAGAACAATCACTACCACTCCTCTCTGTCAGCAGGAATCAGTTACAGAAGACTGACCTTCATCCACTTTCCCCAAAGAATTGGGGTACCGGACTCCTGAGGGGGGAAATGTTACAGGAGGTAGTTAGTCAGGCATGAGCAGGGCATGAGATGGCCTAGCCTCCAACCTTGCCACACACACACAACAGGAATGTCAGGCAACCATCAAGCTATGGTCAGGTGATTGCTAACTGTCTCTCTAAAATAATAATTGGTCATAGCAGATGCCAGGGAAAGGCAGTCTCCCAATACATAGAAACTCCTGAAACTGGTGATCAGCAGCATTCCAATAAGATCTCAGGAGTCTGGTGAATGGGCTCAAGCTTACACATTAAGAGGCAAAATTGTGGAGTTAACTAGTACATGGCCTTCTAAAGACATTTGTCTGGTAAGGGAAGAATGCCTCAAATGAGCATGTGTACAGCTCCAGTAAACACACTGCATGCTCTCCTCTCAAGTGTTAGCAGGCCACTGCACGTGCAGACAGCCCATCTCAAGGGAAGAAACAGGGGAGAAAGGATGCAAGGCCTTGGAAGCATGCTAACATATGAAACCCCAAGCCAAAGGTCAAACTGCACACTTGATCTCTCAAGTTGCCCGCTTTAGCCTCTTCCAAGGTGATCTCTCAAGTCACCTGCTTCACTCCCTCCCAAGTGTGTTTTACCTTCTCTCGTTCCTGCTCTAAAGCTTTTTAATAAACTTTTACTCCTGCTCTGAAACTTGCCTTGGTCTCTCCTTCTGCTTATGCCCTTCAGTCAAATTCTTTCTTCTAAGGAGGCAGGAATTGAGATTGCTGCAGACCTGTATGGATTTGCCATCAGTAACAAAACTTTCAAAAATCAAAGACAAAGAGAATTTTGAAAGCAGCAAGAAAAAACATTTGTCCTAATTTCAAAATATATTAGAAAACTGTAGCAATCAAAAGAGCATGGTGCTGGCATAAAAACAGACACATAGACCAATGAAAAAGAATAGAGAACCCAGAAATAAACCCATGCATATAGTTAGCTAATCTTCAGCAAAAGCACCAAGAATACACAATAGGGAAAGAATAGTGAAAGAAATTAAAATACTTTATCCAAAAATATATTTCTTTGACATATTTTTAAATGGCTGCTACTTGGCCAGCAGACAGAAGTGGCCTTGTGAAGCTATTCTAAGTGGGGGAAATGGGCATCTGTAGAGAATCTCCATTAATGAAGTCATGCCCCCTCCCCTTTCTATGCCTTCCCCCAGATCCAGGAGAGGTTGAGAGTTTGACACCTTTATTATTTATTTATTTAAAACTTTTTCCTCCAACTCTGGCAGATGAACTGACACCTTTAAAAATCTGAAAAGAAACATTTACCGTCTATTCTCTCTGAGGGAGGCTTCATCTACATAAAAAAGCCACCTTTGCCAGTCAAGCCTCCTCATTTCTCTCTCTCTAAACCTGCCTTGCCATTAAGCCTGATTTACCTGTTTCTGGACATTCTCTGAGTCTGCATTCTTTACTGTGGCCTCAGGATAATATACACGTTTCTGTAACTCATTGGGAAGTTGGGTTTTTATTCTGAAGGCTCCCATGGATGTATGTTAAATAAATGTTTATGCCTTTTCTCCTATTAATCAATCTGCCTCATGTCAGTGATTTTTACCAAAGCTTTAGGGAGCCAAGAGCCTATGGCTCCCACAGTAGTCTCATCAATAATTGGGCTGAGAAAACCGGATATCGACATATAAAAGAAAGAAATTGTACTCTTATCTTACACTACACACAAAAATCAACTCAAATAGGTTAAAGAGTTAAATATAAGACCCGAAAACAAGAAACTCCTAGACAACACAGGGAGAAAGCTTTCTGACATTGGTCTTGGTAGTGAATTTTGGATATAACATCAATAGCAAAGTCTACTAAAGCAAAAATAAACAAATGGAACTATATTAAACAAAAACTTTCTGCACAGGGAAGGAAACTATCAACGAAATGAAAACTGACAGAATAAGGGGAAATATTTGCAAACCATCTCTCAGATAAGGAGTTAATATCCAAAGTACATAATGAACTTGTAAACCAAAAATAAAATTCTAAGCGCCCCCAACTGACTGGTGGACCCTCCCCTCAGCCAAGGGCATTTCATATTATCCTGTAAAACTAGTTCAGGGTCTGATGGAAACTGGGGGTCAGACATGCCTCACAAACATTAACAGAGAGAGTTTAAGACTGATAGAACAGACTCTTTAAATCTGATAAGAAACACAGTCTATTCTCTCTGAAATCTACCTGTAGGCTTCATTTGCATGATAAAACCTTGGTCTCCAGATCCCTTTATTAAAACCCAGACATTCCTTTCTAATCTATTCCAGGTCTTTAGATAAAATCTCTTTCAACCAATTGCTAATCAGAAAATCTTTAAATGTACCTCTGACCTGGTAGGCCCTGCTTTGAGTTGTCCTGCGTTTCTGGATTGAACCAATGTACATCTTATATGTATTGACCGATGTCTCGTGTCTCCCTAACATGTATAAAAGCAAGCTCTATCCTAACCTTGGGCATATGTTGTCAGGACATCCAGAGGCTGTTCACAGATGTATCCTTAACCTTGGCAAAATAGACTTTCTAAGTTGATTGAGACCTGTCTCAGATACTTTTGGTATACAAACTCATACAACTAAATAGCAGGAAAAAAAACTGATTTAAAAATGGGAAAATGACTTGAAGAGATATTTTTCCAAATAGCACATACAAATGGCCAAAAAGTATATAACAATGTTCTCAACCTCACTAAATTCAGGGAAATGCAAATCAAAACCACAGCTAGGTATCACTTCTACCTGTTAGAAAGGCTATTATCAAAAAGTTAAAACATAAGTGTTGTCAGAGATGTGTGAAAAGGAAACCCTTATCCACTGTTGATAGAAATGTTAATTGGGAGGTTCTCAAAAAAAAAATTAAAAATAGAATTACTGTATGATCCAACAATCCTACTGATACATATCCAAAGGAAATAAAATCATGACCTTGAAGAGCTATCTGCACTCCCATGTTCATTACAGCATTATTCACAAGAGTCAAGATCTAGAAACAACTTATGTGTCTGTCGATAATGAATGGATAAAGAAAATGTGGTATATACATACAATGGAAAATTATTCAGCCTTAAAGAGAAGGACATCTCGGTCTATATGACAACATGGATGTACCTGGAGGACATTATGCCAAGTGAAATTACTCAGCCACAGAAAGACAAAAACTGCATAATTTCACTCATATGTGTAATCTAAAAAGTCGAAGTTATAGAAGCATAGTAGAACAGTGGTTACCAGGAGGTGTAAGGTAAGATAAATGGGGAATTTTTGGTCAAAGTGTGCAAACTTTCAGTTATAAGATGAATCCTTATGGAGACCTTATGTACACTATGGTGACTATGGTTAGTTACAATGTATACTTAAAATTTCCTAAGAGAGCCGGGCATGGTGGTTTATGCTTGTAATCCCAGCACTCTGGGAGGCTGAGTTGGGCAGATCACGAGGTCAGGAATTTGAGACCAGCATAGCCAACATGGTGAAATCCCATCTCTACTAAAAATACAAAAATTAGTCAGGCATAGGGGCAGGCTTCTGTAATCCCAGCTACTTGGGAGGCTGAGGCATGAGAATCACTTGAACCTGGGAGGCAAACGTTGCAGTGAACCGAGATCGCACCACTGCACTCCAGCCTGGGTAACAGAGTGAGACCCTGTCTCAAAAAAAAAAAAAAAAAAAATTGCTAAGAGAGTAGGTCTGTTTTTGTTTGTTTGGTTGGTCGGTTGGTTTTGTTTTGTTTTTTAAGACATAGTCTTGCTCTGTCACCCAGGCTGGAGTGCAATGGCACCATCTCGGTTCACTGCAAGCTCTGCAAGCTCTGGGTTCAAGCGATTCTCCTGCCTCAGCCTCCTGAGTAGCTGGGATTACAGGCATGCACCACCACATGCAGCTAATATTGTTTTTCTGTTTTTAGTAGACACGGGTTTCACCATGTTGGCCAGGCTGGTCTCGAACTCGTGACCTCAAGTGATCCACCCACCTCGGCCTCCCAAAGTACTGGGATTACAGGTGTGAGCCACAGCTCACAGCTTCATTCTTTTTCATGGCTGTGTAGTATTCCATGGTGTATACATAGCACATTTTCTTTACAATATTTATTTGTCAATCATATCTCAGTGAAGTCAGATAAAAAAAAGAACCTGAAAGAAACACGGCAACCCTGGCAAAAGGGCTGGGCCCAGAAACTTCTCATGTTGCACTTACCTTTGACATCTGTAGTCTCTTGGGTACCAGCCCCGCAGAGAAGACGACAGGCAGAACTGTTTGGCAATGACATCCTAAGAAAAGCAAGTAGAAGAAACAAGTTACAAATTTATGGATTTATAAATCACATGAAGCCTATGGACTTACAGGAATTTCCATTTATCTTTTTTTAAAACTTTCATTTTAGGTTTGGAGGTACATGTGAAGGTTTGTTATTTAGATAAACTCGTGTAATGGGGGTTTGTTGTACAGATTACTTCATCACCCAGGTATTAGGTCTAATATCCCATAGCAATTTTTTTCTGCTCCTCTCCCTCCTCCCACCCTCCACCATCCGGTAGACCCCAGTGTCTGTAGTTTCATTCTTTTTTTGAGACGGAGTCTCACTCTGTCACCATGCTGGAGTGCAGTGGTGTGATCTTGGTTCACTGCAACCTCCATCTCCCAGGTTCAAGTGATTCTCTTGCCTCAGCCTCCTGAGTAGCTAGGACTACAGGCACGCACCACCAAGCCCAGCTAATTTTTGTATTTTTAGTAGAGACAGGGTTTCACCATGTTGGCCAGGATGATCCCGATCTCTTCACCTTGTGATTTGCCCACCTCAATCTCCCAAAGTGCTGGGATTACAGGTGTGAGCCACTGTACCCTTCTTTGTGTCCATGTGTTCTCATTAAACTCTCACTTATAAATGAGAACATGCCGTATTTAGTTTTCTGTTCCTGCATTAGTTTGCTAAGGATAATGGCCACCAGCTCCATCCATGTTTCTGCAAAAGACATGATCTTGTTCTTTATTGTGACTGCATAGTATTTCATGATGTATATGTACCCCATTTTCTTTTTACAACCTGTCATTGATGGGCATTTAGGTTGATTCTATGTCTTTTCTATTGTGAATAATGCTGCAGTGAACATTCGCATGCATGTGTTGTTATGTTCTAGAAAGATTTCATGACGCAGACACCAAAAGCAATCACAACAAAAGCCAAAGTTGACAAAGGGGATCTGGTTAAACTTAAGAGCTTCTGCACAGCAAAGGAAACTATCAACGGAGTAAACAGACAGCCTACAGAAGAGGACAAAATATTTGCAGACTATGCATCTGACAAAGGTCTAATATCCGGCATCTAAAGGGACTTAAACAAATTTGCATGAAAAAAACAAACGATCTCATTAAAAAGTGGGCAAGGAACATAAACAGACACTTTTGAAAAGAAGACATGTGGCCAAAAAGCATATGAAAAAAACCTCATTATCACTGATCATTAGAGAAATGCAAATAAAAACCACAACGAGATACCATCTTATACCAATCAGAATGACTATTACTAAAAAGTTAAAAATAACAGATGCTGGCAAGGTTGCAGAGAAAAGAGAACACTTGTACACTGTTAGTAGGAGGGTAAATTAGTTCAACCATTGTGGAAAACAGTATGACATTTCCTCAAAAAGCTAAAAACAGAACTACCATTCTACCCAGTGATCCCATTACTGGGTATTTACCCAGAGGAATATAAATCATTCATCTTTTTATTTGGTTTTTAAACATTTGTTTGTTCTCTTCCACTCTTTCCATGCTCCCAACTGTAATCCCACAATCCCATTAAATAAACTACAGTTGGACTTTCTTATCGTCTTTAGTGATTTGTTTGTTCTCTAATTTGTCATAAAAGGGTAACATTTTCAACTTCTGCGCATGAAAAGCTCAAACATTAAGTTCGTAATTATTTCAAAGGGATTTATGAGTGTTTCTCTAGGGAGCTGTTTTCGAAATAAGATAAGTGCTATGAATGGGATAAGAAAGATTACAGTAATTATGTTGGTTTCTGAAAAAACCAAAAACTTAATATCAGCGGAGTAACTTGGGGACTCACAGATGCAGTGTGTATCCTTTGAAACACATCTGTATCCCAGTTTCCTTGAATCCAAATATGACACTCTAAGCAAGCAGGGACTGGGTGGGAAGCGCAGGTTATTTTGTATGGAATGAACAAAGTCATCAATTTCTAGAATTCAACACATGGTAGTAATTATTTTGGGGTCTCTGATTGAGGGAGGAGGGTCCTCATGCTTCAGGAACCTGTAACTCTGTGACGCAGGGGTAGAGTGGAATTGATATCAGCCTAACGAGCCCTAAAATATTCCTATACATGTATTCAGCACACAAACCAGCCCTAATCATTCCTGAGACAGGGGTTGGTCGCCTACTCTGCATCTTTCTTCTCCTAACCAACAGCAGCAGTTGAATCACCTGGGGGTATGAATTTAAAAGTGCAGATTTTAAAGCTAAATCCCCAGTAATTATTGTTCAGTAGATTTGGGGCAGATGGTCTGATACAGGTGGTCATTGGGCCAATTTCCTGACTTCTACAGGAACCACTTCCTTGCTTCTCTTAATATATTTTATCGCTAAAAACTATAGTTTGGTTTGGGCTGGGTTTGTTGTTTTTTTTTTAAATTTTATATAAGCAGAATTATACAGCATGTCACCTGGTTCAAAATGCCCAACATTATGTTCGTGAGATTATTGAGTGGAACCATAGTTTTTCTTATTCATTACTATCCAGTATTCCATTGTATGACCACACCACAGCTGACGCTTCTGTCAATGAATAGTACTTATTCTACATTTTGCTTGTTTTAGTTTTTTTGGCTATTATGAAAAGTACTGCTAAGAACATTATTGTACATGTCTCTCAACGTACATGTGAAAGCACATTTCAGTTGGAGTGGAATTGCTACGTCTACAATATCCATAGAATCAACTGTAGAAGGTAAAACTAAACTTTTTCTAAAGCGCGACATCAACGTACATTCCCATCAGCTGTATATGAGAGACCTGATTGTTAGGCATCCTTATCAACACTTAGTAGGCTTTTTTTTTAAGACTCAAGGGGTATATGTGCAGGTATGCTACATGAATATATTGTGTGATGCTGAAATTTAGGCTTATATTGAACCTGTCACCCAAATAGTGAACTTAGTACCCAATAGGTAGTTTTTCAACCCTTGCTCCTTTCCCTCTCTGCCCTCAGTGTCTACTGTTTCATTTTTATGTCCATGTGTATCCACTGTTTAGCTCCCACTTATAAGTGAGAACATGCTGTGTTTGATTTTCTGTTTCTGCATTAATTCACTTGCCAGCTGCATCCATGTTGCTGCAAAAGGCATTATTTCATTCTTTTTCATGGCTGTGTAGTATTCCATAGTGTATACATTCCACATTTTCTTTATCCAATCCACCATGGATGAGCACCTAAGTTGATTCCAAGTCATTGCTATGGTGAATAGTGCTGCAATGAACATACGAGCACATATGTCTTTTTGCTGAAATGATTTACTTTCCTTGGGATATATACCCAGTAATGGGATTGCTGGGTCAATGGCAGTTCTATATTCAGTTCTTTGAGAAATCTCCAAACTACTTTCCACAGGAGCTGAACTAATTTGCATTTCCACTAACAGTGTTTAAATGTTCCCTTTTCTCTCCAACCTCATCAACATCTGTTATTTTTTGACTTTTTATTAACAGCCATTCTGCTTGGTGTGAGATGGTATCTCATTGTGGTTTTGGTTTGTATTTCTCTGATGATTAGTGATGCTGAGCATTTTTTCAGGTTTGTTGGCCACTTGTTGTGTCTTCTCTTGAGAAGTGTCTATTCATATCCTTTGTGCAATTTTTTTTTGAGACAAGGTCTCACTCTGTCACCCAGGCTGGTGTGCAGCGGCATGATCATAGCTCGCTGCAGCCTCGAACTACCAGGCTCAACCAATACTCCCACCTCAGCCTCCTGAATAGCTGAGACCATAGGCACATGCCACCACACCTGGCTAATTCTTTTTTTGGGGGGGGTTGGGGGGTGATGAGATCTCCCTATGTTCCCAGGCTGGTCTCAGATTCCTGGGACAAGCAATCCTCTTCCTGCCTCAGCCTTTCAAAGTGCTGGGATTACAGGCGTCAGCTACCCACCTGGCCCTTTGCGTACTTTTTGATGGGTTTGTTGGTTTTTACTTGTTGATTTAAGTTCTTTATGGATTCTGGATAGTAGTCCTTTGTTGGATGCATAGATTAAAAATATTTTCTCTCATTCTGTGGGTTGTCTCTTTACTCAATTGATAGTTTCTTTTGCTATGCAGAAGCTCTGTGGTTTAATTAGGTCCCAATTGTCAGTTTTTGTTTTTGTTGTGTTTGCTTTTGAGGACTTAGTCATGAATTCTTTGCCTATGGCAATGTCCAGAAGAGTGTTACCTAGGTGTTTTCTTCTAGGATTATTATTATTTGTTTTTGTTGTTGTTGTTGTTGTTGTT